CTTGCAAAATTTTATATAAGATCGTGGTTTTTCTAATATTTTTCTGTAATTATTTTTTTATTTTATCGATTATTTTTCAGATTGATTGGATAATGTTAAGTACTAGCATGGCAAATCGATTTGTACGATATGATTGTTTGCATGATTATGATATTTCTAATTTAAAATTTGCCATTATTGGTGGATCTGCATTGAATCGAGAAACTCAAGATATAATAAAAAAATATTTACCAAATACTATGATTATGCAGGCATATGGTGAATTAAAAAAGAAACTATTGAAAAAACTACAAAAACATAAATATTATGAATAATTTATATGTGCAGAAAAGAATAACTAAAATGTTAATATTTTAATATACAAATTATTTCAGGTATGACAGAGTTAGGTGGTATAATTACCATACAATCATCAAGTGCTACATCAAGTGGTTCTTGTGGCATTGTGATTTCAAATTGTCAGATAAAAATTATAGATACCGAAACAGGAAAAACGCTTGGTCCGAATCAAACTGGCGAACTGTGTGCAAAAACGTGGACGATGATGACAGGATACCACAAAAATCTTGAAGCTACTAAGGATATATTTGATAAAAATGGTATTCTATATATAAATTATATTTCTATGTAAATTTTCTTTATCATCTTTAAATATTAAACAATTACGGATATTAAACAGTTCAGTTCTAATTTTATTTGAAAATTAATAAATAATAAACAAAAATAATATAAAATAATAAAATTAATTAATTTATTATTGTTATTAATAATAATGTTTTATTTCTAGGATGGTTACATTCTGGTGATTTAGCTTATTATAATGAAAACGGAGAAGTTTTTATTGTAGATAGATTAAAGGAAATTATTAAATACAAAGGATATCAAATATCACCGAATAAAATAGAAACTCTCTTACAATCACATCCTGCAGTTTTAGAAGTGGGAGTAGTTGGCATACCTCATCCTATTTATGATGAACTTCCCGTTGCTTTTATCAGTAAAATACCTAATAAAGAAGTATGTAAATATGATATTAATACTATTAAAATAATTCATTTTCTTATTATTAATTTATTAATAGTTAATAAATATTAATAAATATATATTAATTATTGGTTATATAATTAATAAATTAATTATTAGTTATTAATAATATATTATTTACATTTTTTAAGCAAAGAGAAGAGTAAACAAAATTAAAAATAAATAATTTTATCTTTTATATATGAAAATAATTTTAATTATGAAAAAATGCTTTACTATATATTTTGAATTTTTGAAAATCAAATCTCTGATTTTTAAACTTAAGTAATTTTTAGTAAAAATCTCTTTTATAGATTTCTTATCTCTAAAATCATATTTTGAATATATTACTAAGAATTTAAAAATGTTTCAATAGTATATATCAATTGTATTTGTTTTTTTTTGTGTTTTTATTTGTTTTTTTTTTTTGTGTTTTTAATCAACAAAAAAAAGTGATTTTAAAATTATTTCTATATTATAATTTTTCGGCATTTTAGAATAAGAAAAATAATAAATGATATATTATTATTGAAAATTAAATAATAAATATAGAATTATAATAAATATAGAAATAATAAATATAGAAAATAAAAAAATGAATAGAAAAACTATATAATATGTCTCACTTTTTTAAAAAGAAAAAAAACAATAAATATTTTTTAATATTTTATTTTAGAAATCATTTTAAATATTCATTTTTCTATAAATATTTTTTGCTTATGAAAACATAATAAATATTATATTATAATGATTAAAAAAACATAATAAATAATAAGAAATACCAGAAAATATTATGAATAAAATTATGTAGAATACAGATCAATGCAATTATCTTATTGTTTTTATAAATAAAATATTAAAATTTTAAATAGAATTAACATATAAAATAGATTTAAAAAAAAATAATATTCAAAAAAATTATTATTATTTTTTATTAATAATTTCTTTGTTAGTTTTTCGACTGTGACAATTGTATATATTATGCAAAACATGATATATATTGTATCCAGTTTTCTAAATATAGCAATACTGAATTTTTATTAAAAATAATAAAATAAATATATCATAATATATAACAATAGAGAATCTATTATTATCTTGAATTGGAAAATGAATTCATATTATGAAGCAATAAGATGATTATAAATTTTGTGTATAAAATATTTAATTTTAAATTTAAAATAAATTTAAAATAAATTGACAAAATTACAATTGTTTTATCAATTGAACTGAAATATATTTAACTATTCCTTATACTAGAATGCTTAAAAATTATAGAATAAAATAAGGAAAATAAGTTTTAATAAATATGGATTGAAATATTTTCAAAGACATAAATATTTTTTTGTGTCGCAAATAACTCATTTGTTTTGAAAATTAATGTACAATATAAGAAACAAAGGATTATGTTGTTCCTTTTTTCAATTTTAATTATAAAATTGATACAAATAAATATAAATTATACAAATAATTATACAAGTAAATTAATATAGATTTGTACAAATAAATTATTTTCTAATGTTTATTAGAATTTATTTCTTTTTATTTAGCAAATATCTATTCTAAATGCCATGAACTTGTACATGTATTAAAGGAATATAAAAAATCTCAATATGATATGACTCTATAAAATAATAATTAAACAATAAAATATAAATTAATAATAATATAAAATTAAACATAAAATTCGGACAGAATTAAACATAGAATTTCTACAAATGATATGTCTATTGATATATATGATATGTATATTATAAATAAAATATATTACCTAATTTATAGGTTTCTGAAGAAGAATTGTCGAAAATGGTTGCTAATAATATGATGGATATCTATAAACTACGTGGTGGTATAAAATTTTTATCAAGTTTACCACATACTCCTTCGGGAAAAATTTCAAGAAAAAAATTGAGAGCGATGGCGAAAGAGTTAACTATCAATTATGAAAGTATTAATTAATTAATTAATATTAATTAATAATTTTATTGTGATTATTCCGATTAAACGATTATTGTGACATAAAATATATTAATTTAAATAAATATTAATATAAATATCTTTGTTAGTTATATATAAGATAATATAATATAATTTATCTATATTTATATTATAATACCTATATTAATATATCTAAGTATAACATAAATTTTATTTATAATTTATTTATAATGGCGTCATATTTTAAATAATGTTATAATTTCTTATTTTAATATAAGAAAAATAAAGAAATATATAATTACAGAAATTTTCATATATTTTATATAAATATGCAATTAATAATATCAAATAAAATTAATAATAATTCTATTTTATATAAAACATTGAATATAATATATATAATATATACATATGAATATAGTATAGATCATAATGAATTATGTATGAATATTTTTTTATTATTGCTTTTATTAATTAATGCTTGAAATTTCTGTATTAGTGTATTTTATATATATATATATAATTTCATAATACGAGATAGAGCAAAATGTAAAATATTCATGCTATCTTGTAGAAAAAATAATTCTAAATAAAATTCTATATGAAACACAAAAAAAAACGATACAAACTTGAAATTCAATTTCATTTAAAAAGATTTTCTATTTATAAAAAAAAATTTTGAATAGATGATACAGGCTGATGCTGCGAGAATAATGCTGTTTTTAGGAAAAAAATTTGGACGACCCTTCGCTTATATTTAATAAACGAAAATAATTCGGCGTAATTGGAGTTTGAAGTTTGAAATGACAAGATCTGCAATCTCACAAGATGAGGGGGCTTTAGAGATACTATTTTGGGAGAATTTTTGAACTTCAGAACTTTTAGAACTTTTGAATCGTTAGAACTCTTTTAGATCTCTTTAACCGCGAGAACTTTTAGAACTCTCTAATCTTCAGAATTTTTAAAATTCTTTAATCTTCAAAAATCTTTTGCACTTAGAACTCTCCCGAACTTGTAATCTTATCTTTAGTGATAACGTAAACCTTCATTAGCATATGGATCGTCTTATAATCGAACTTGTTAACAACGAACTTTGTAATAATTATTTTTATTATGTATACCATAGTTCCAGAAATGGAGTTAACAAAAAATAAATTATTTTATATATGACTCATGCCATATACACACATAAATTTTTCTTGGAAGAATTTCCTTAACAAAATGTATGAAAATTTTTATAACTATTTTTGTGTAGATAAATAAAAATATAAAATTTAAAATAAATCTGTTAAATAATATCTATTTTCAAAGTTTCTGAATTAGTCAAGATATATTTCTTTCCGGTTTTTGTAAATAGTCATCAATGCTAACTTTTTCACATTTTAATTTCAAAAATGTTTCAATACACTGTAGTAGATATTCCAAACTATAAGTGTGGCAAAAATAATTTGTTTGATTATATTTTGTCTGTTACCAGTAAGCGATCGGTTAGAAAAGTCATTATGTTAACACGTAGTAAATAGTCAAGTTATCATTGGCTATTAGACACTCAATTATGATTGCTATTCCAAAGATATTATATGTATATTATATATAATTATATATGTGTAGACAAAATTCAATATATTCTATTAGAAGTATTTTTTTATTAATATTTCGAAAACTAATAAAAATTTGAAATTAAAATTTTAAATTTAAAATCCAAATGTTTCATTTCGTTTCTTCTAAATTGTAAATCGAAAGTGTACATTTTTTGGAAAAGTACTTAAAATACTTATTTATTAAATTATAAACATTAGATAAAATAAGACAAAAACAGAGCGTGACAGAAATGTAATGTTTCACTCTTTCTAGAATATTTTTCTCATTTTTTCATTTTAATTGTTTAATATTGTATAATTAAAAAAAAAATTTTATTGATTCGTGACAATGACATAAATATGGCAATATATAAAAATACCGACATTGTAGCTAAAACACGACATTGTAAACAGTATAAAAACAATGATATAAATATTTTAAAAAAAAGTTAACAAAAATTATTATACTAATTTATTATATTAATTTATTGTAATTTTAATGAAACAAATAATATTGTTTTAATATATTTTTTAATTATGTAATCGTATTTATTTGTAACCTCGAGCTTTCGCTTCCTTAAACATGGCAATCAGGGAATCCAAGGTTTCTTGACTAGTAGGGATAATTTGATCAGCTGGAAGCAAGAAACCATAGCGACCAGTATCTCTTAGTTCATAAGTGTAAGTAATTGATTTGTGAAAAGTTCCTTTCACCCAATCCACTGAACTTCCGCTTGCAATATCTGAAAATAAAGTTAAATATAGAATTAAATCAAGATAAGTTATTAAACGATCACTTTAATGATTCATTTTGTATTGATTTGAAAGATAAATTTTAGATTAATCTTACTAAAAGAAAATTATCTTTCATTTCAAATTAAATTGATTCATTTATACAATATTACAATATATATATATTCATTATTACAATATAAAATTAAAATGATAAAATTATTTTATAATAAAACAAAACAAAATAAAATAAATTTTTTATTGCATTTTAATAAACAAAACATATACTTACAAATAGTTTCAGCGATATTTCCGGTTTGGTATTGAGTTCCATAACGTTTTGCAAGAGCTTGAATAGCCTTTTTACCGATTGCAAGCTAAAAATGTACCAAGTTAATTATTTCTCTGTATTTGTACGAAATATAATGAATTGACATAAATATATTGATAAAGAATAAAAAATTCATTATCGATTATACTAATTATTATTTATATATATCATATAATATATTTAATAATATTATATAAAATATAAATATAAAATTTATGATTTAAAAAATAATTAAATGTAATTTTTAAAAAGAAAAATAATGTAAATATATTATTATTTTGTATAAAATTTGTTTGTGTTTATATTACATATATATAGAAAATTGCATAGAAAATTTAATCTTTTTAACATAATTAAATAACAAATTTTACAAATTAATTACTTACTTCATCATTATAATTTTCCAAATGATCTTTAGTGTGACCATAGGGAAACATTAGAAGTTGAGAATAACTATGGAAAGCAACGTAAGCAGAAAATTTATTCGAAATAGATGAAATGAATTCGGATAAGCTTTTTGTTTCTACATCAGAGAATGCAGAACTTCCAGCATAAGTTTCTGAACATGGATTGGTGCTAGCACCACCAGCTAAAAATAAGAATATGATTTCTATAAAAATTATGAAAACGTTATATAAAATATTATATTAGAAACTTACACATCCATTTATATCCCCAATTCCTGTTAGGATCACTTCCATAGCATAAAAGACCATATGGTTTACGAGTTTTTCTCCATAAACGATTCTGAAATATAATTTATTAAAATAATAAACAAAATAATACAAAATGAATATAAATAAATTTTAAACAAATAATATAAATATAATATAAATATATATCAATTTTATATATAATATAACATCATATATAATATAATATATAATATAATATTTAATTTTATTATATTATTATAATATTTATAATTACTATATATATTTATATATATTTATAATAATAAAATTAATAAAGAGAAATAAATTTTACTAAATTTGTAATTATTAAATTTAAAAATTATTAAATTTGTTATAAAGCTTTCTTTTAAAATTTAAAAATTTAATAATTTTTATCTTATATTTTTAATTTATCATCAAAATTTCAAAATTTTTAATATTTTTATAAATTAATAATTTATTTTGTTCTATAATCAATATTAGTAAGTAACATTTAGAATAATATTTATTTTATTTTCCATTAGAATTATAATTATATTTATCTTATTTTTTGAATATTTTATTAAAACTTAAATTATTCTTTGTTTTAAAGAATTAATTCTATATATTATTTCATTAATATTATCGATAATACATTTATTGAAATTCTGACATTTTCACTTTACTATTAAAATTTTTTAAATTTTTAATTTATTGAATTTATTAATTTTTAGAATATAAAATTTAGTATTAAGTTATTTACCGTAGTGTGAGTATATACATATCCATCAGGATTAATAGTAGGAAAGATGTACCAATTATGAGATTCAGCAAGTGCTCGGACATCAGCGTTATTACTATGTAATAGTTCATTCGTTATGTAAAGAAGAGTAGCGGGAGTGATCCATTCCCTAGCATGAATTCCACCCTCTAAGAAGATTCCAGGTTTATTTGTGCCGAAATTAAGTTTCACGCCTTTAATCTGACGACCTTCATATGTTTTTCCACCAACAACTATTTCGACTTTGCCAGGATTGGCTTTGGCCAAACTATCTAAATAAGCATAGATCTCCTCGAGAGTATGATATTGGGCGAAGTTAAATGCAACTAGTGGTTGAATCGGTGACATTTCACTATCAATTAAATCCTGAACATTGTTGACATAGATATCATAAGGAATATTCAATTTCATCATCATATCATAAAACTCTGGTATCTTATGAGGAGCAACCATTATATCTGCAGTACCTTCAATACTATTTGGTTCTTTCCAGAAAGAGAACTATAATTATGAAAATTTATTACATTAATTATGTTACTATAATTTGCTTTTAAAATTGTGGGAACTTGTTTTGTTAGGTATTTCAAATATTTAAAGTAAATAATATTAGACATTCATTATTAAAATAAGAAATAAATTAATAACAAAAAAAATATTTTTTTTATTATATAATAATGAAAAGAAGAAAAACATTTTTATCGAATATTAATATAAGTTTTCATTTTATATATAATAAAAAATAAGAATACTGATATTATGTAAAATAAATATCTTACATACCGCATCAGAAACATCTTCCAAATTGCGCACAATTTCAAATTGTTCTTTTGTCTGAGGTGCGATACGAAATACCTTGTAATTATCATATTTTATCTTCTCGGCTATCGCTAAGCCGACCAAACTGATGAAAATTAACTTCCACATAATGCCTTCTAAGAAAAAATTTAATATTTTTAGTATTTTATAAAATATTTATTTTAAATATTTTAAATATTTATAAAATTAAAGTTTCAACGAACGTGAATTAAAATTAAAAATTTTTTTGTGACAAAAAAATTTTTAAACTTTAATCTAAATAAATATAGAAAAAGAATTTGTATTTACAATTAAGAATAAATATTAAATAATAATAAGATAAAAAGATTTCATTATAGTTTGTAAGATATTGAAATTATAATCATACAAATCTAATTATTAAATTATTAAATTTAAAATAATAAAAAAATTTAAATATAAAACTAAACTAAAATAAAATAATTAAAAAAAAAATTGAATTGAGACTAAGATACTATTGTTTAATGAACAAAGAATAGAATAAGTGATCTTACCCTATGCCTTCATGAAAGAAGTTTATATTGTCAGCATATCTATCTCTGTATTTAAACGTATTTCAATTGCACACGACACCAATGATCATTTCTATCAGATCATTATTCAAAAATCGTATTATCAATCAATTAATCTGAAATATCAGATTTATTTTGAGTGAGCATTTTTATCTTGACGATTTCATCACTTGAAATATCGTCAGAATTTCACAATCATTTGCAGACAATTTTTAATTCCGGTATATTTTAATCAGATTTTTTTTTTCTAATATCAGCTTTTTTTATTGCTTCAAATAATAAATAGAATTTCAAAAATTTCAATATTTTTAAAACCAAATTATTAAATGAATCATAAATATCACTTTCAAAAGATAATGGTCTTGAATACATATTATGGTATGTGTGACTATAAAATTGTCACTAAATTTATGCCATTTTTAAAGGATTTTTTGTAATTCAGGATTTGGTAATTAAATCCACACAAATTTTTTTTATTTTTATTTCTTCAATAGTTTTTATTCTATTTCTCTAACTTTAACTTTATGTTTGTAAAATTTCATTTAGATTTGATTATCAATTGCTAATCAGATACAGTTAAATCTCTTCGTTTTTTCTTTTCACAATCATTTTCTATTAACTTCAATTTTTTCTTTTTCTTTCTTTTTCATATTTCTTTTCTATTTATGATTATTCTTCTGTGCATTTAACTCATATTTTCTATTGCACAAGAAAAATCTATATCAACCTGCCAATACTGTTGTCACATTGAAATTCATTATTATAATCTGCATCGTTATTATTCATATAATTATTATTAATTATCATTAATGTTATGATTAAAGTAAATATATCTACTTTATTAAATATATCTTATTTATTTATATAATTTTAATGAAATATTTTTTCTTATTATATTTAATTTCTTTTTATTTTTTTTTTTTTTTTTTTTTTTTTTTTTTTA